TTTTAAATGAAGAGCCATGACGTTGAGCTCTCCAAAAATTTTGGGGAAGCTTTCCAAATCTTCTCAAAACTAATCTTGAAAATTTGAGAAATGAGTGATACATTGTCCGCCCCGCCCCGAGAGGTTTTAGAAGTGATTTCATTTATTTACGAGTTTTCTTGCTGCGATTTAGAGAGCACAAGTTATTGACTAATTTGAATTTTAGGAGTCTCAATTTACTAGCATTTGCAAAAAATTGTATTAATGAGATGTTGTAGTTGTATAACCTAACCAGATCAAATTCGAAGTTCTAAGGGTCCCTGAGTCACATCTAAAATCTAGGGAAGCTTACCGAGGTAGAGCGAATCTACCGGGGTCATATACAGCTCCTGGCGCGGTATGGCTGGAGCTCCATACGTCAGCGACTCCTGATAGAAAAACATTGCAAATTGCTCGGGAATGATACTAATGAATACGTACAGTGCCGAGGTTTGCTGCCGCTTCTCTTTGATTCTCTCTTTGTTCCTGATGCTGCTCAAAAGAGTCAGGCCGCGGCACGTGCGAGACCCTCTCCGAGTTCGCTTGCTGAGGCAGAGCCTGCTCTGTGGGCTGGTGGACTTGCTAAACACACACCATTTTGTATAGCTTTTTCGCATGCTGCTGCTTACCCCATATATTGGTATGCCGCCGGCTTTGAGCTGCTCTACCATCGCCTGTATTATGTTATACTCCCTGATGTTTGTGGGAGTAGGAACTTTACGGAGGTCGATGGACGCTCGCTTCATATTCTCCGTGATTCCGCGGCTGACCTGTTCCACAACCTAAACAAATCAGTTAATTCTTGAGTGGTCGAAAGCCTTCTCTCACCTTGAAGTCGTCACTACCGGTGCGAACTTCAGGGTGCATCTTGCGAATATGTGCTCCCAGGCGAAAACAGCCGTGCTTTCTGCACATAATACAGTAGTGGATTCCCTGAGACGGCGGTCGTGGGAGCAAAATTTCTAAAACATTAACATATGGAAGATAATCTGGGTCGGTGGCTTGATATGGCTACCATCAGTCAACGTGACTGGTAAAGGTTCGATCCGCCCTTCCTCTACCCACTCAGCAATCTTGACTCTTGCCAGCCCTCCAATTCTTCTTTCCTCCTCTTTCTTCCTGCTT